CTTCTCCTGCCCCTTTTTAAGGAGACAATCCTGCAACCAAATGAATCCCAGCACAATGGCTCTCTGCCTTTGTACAGGGGTCAATGCTAGTGGGGCCCAAAAGGTTAACTGAGAGGCACAGTGTGGCTGCAGTGCAGCTAAATATAGGAGGAGAAATTACTGTCTCCCAATAAAATATTTGAGTTTTTCCCCCCTCCCTTTGTTGAAGTGGAGAAATATAGTGGTGTTTTTCCTCTCTGGTGAGATCCAGAGGAACAGTAAATCTACCAGTTCTCTCCTTATTACTAACAGCCATTAAAACCTACCTAGTCCAGCAGTGGCTAATTTAAAGATCCCAGTGAAACAATTCCAAACATGCAGAATCTAAGGGTTAAATTCTGATGCCTTTACTTGTGTACTCAACTAGATCCTTTGACATCAGTGGAATTATTTGTAGAGTAAGGTACTATTCAACACAAGTGATGGTGTCAGACTCAGGTCCTGAGGGAGCAGGGGCTTCTGCTATGTGTAAAACTGTGCAGCAGAAGATGTATGGGAGTGGATTGGCTGGTACAGGAGTTCAGTGATTTTTCTCTTCTGGAGTTTGAAGAAGATGAGAACAATTAATAATTCCAGATGCTAGATAAATATGGAAGTGGGGAAATATTTGGCATCAGAAGATCACTACAAATTACTCTTTGTACTGCAGGGATGGCGTGCATCTTGGTGACACAGGAAACCCATGCTTTCCTGGAAACGTGAGTCATGGAATCTTTAGCTGCATTTGTTAAACTCTGTCAAGTGAAAGATAAAAACTTACTGGCTCTAAAGAGAGCTTGTAGGGTTTTTTTCAAGGCAATCAAGAATGTAATCTCTCTCAACAATAAGCCACTAACTCTTAAGGTTCTTGAAAGAAAAACACATTTCAGGGTGCATTTTGCTTCGATTTGGTGAGCATGATGTACAGGTTTAGGCAGGAGTAAAGGACCCACCTATTTCTGTGCTATTTACAGTGAAACTAGTTGATCCGTACATATAGTAGAACCTCAGAGTTACGGACACTAGAGTTATGAACTGACCAGTCAACCACACACCTCATTTGGAACCTGAAGTATGCAATCAGGCAGCTGCAGAGACCCCAAAAAAGCAAATATAGTACAGTACTGTGTTTAAACATTAACTACTAAAAAAAATAAAGGGGAAGCGTAAAAAAAAAAAGATTTGACAAGGTAAGGGAACTGTTTCTCTACTTGTTTCATTTAATTGAAAATGGTTAAAAGCAGCATTTTTCTTCTGCATAGTAAAGTTTCAAAACTGTATTAAGCCAATGTTCAGCTGTAAACTTTTGGAAGAACAACCATAATGTTTTGTTCAGAGTTACAAACAACCTCCATAACTGAGGTTGTACTGTAACATTGTTCTTTCCTTTTCCCAGTGTTGGCTTGTCTGTCTCTCCTTAGGCCTTGGCTACACTTACCCGGTAGTTCGGCGGCGAGCGATCGAACTTCTGGGTTCGACTTATCGCGTCTAGTCTGGACGCGATAAGTCGAACCCGGAAGTGCTCGCCGTCGACTGCGGTACTCCAGCTCGGCGAGAGGAGTACCGCGGAGTCGACGGGGGAGCTGCCTGCCGAGTGTGGACCAAGGTAAGTTCGAACTAAGGTACTTCGAACTTCAGCTACGTTATTCACGTAGCTGAAGTTCCGTACCTTAGTTCGAATTAGGGGGTTAGTGTAGACCTGGCCTTAGAGTATTAGCTCCTTGGAGACGGTACTATCCTTGGGTGCTTGGAATGCGACTAGCACATAATGGGTAGTATCATAGATAAATAATATCACCGCTTTCAGAAGCTCTGTGTGAGGGAGGTGATAGAGACAGAATGGGGAAAAGGGTTCCTGGGAACAGGCTGGGGAGACAGGGGATTCCATGGGAGTTAATGGGAAGGAAGGACAAAATGGGTGAGTCTTTTGGATCCCCCAAGCTCATTCATTTAATTGAAACAAGTCAGTGTAAAGATATTAATGTGTGTACACTTCAGCATCCTAGTATTTCAGTAATGGTTGGCAAATATGAGCTCTGGTATCTGATTCTCAGTTCCTGTGCTTGAGGCAGGATGAAGAAATGGGGGAGGAAGGTGGTTAAACCTACAGCTGCCTTATCTTTGGATCTGTGAGTCTTGAAGGGGGAATAATACATGTAGCTCTATTTCTTCACTGTGGGCCTGATTATCTAAAGGACTAAAACATGTGAGTAATTCCATTCCTACTCAGGAAAGCACATAAGAATGCTCATCTTTAAAGTCAATTGGCCTATTTTTATACTTTAAAATGTAAGCATAGACGATGCTGAATCAGGACCCATATTCAGATCCAGGAACCCACTGCAGGTCTAGGAAAGGTGGGTAGCATGCCATAAAGGTGTTACCGCCGCCACCACCACATGTGGCCCTTTGCCCACAGCTGTGTGAATAATTGGGCCTTCTGTTCCAAAAACAACTGTTCTATGTTATATGATTTCGTATTTTTTGTTGGCCACTGAGAACATTCACAACATTACTCCAGGGGGAATTCTACACCAAAAAATAAAAATTCTGTGCACAATATTTTAAAATTCTGCATATTTTATTTGTCAAAATAACACAATATAATCATGCCACTTTCAATTATTTTGGTAATTTATTTCAAAATACCCGTCAGCAAGTATGTCTGTAACAGTACAGACAAATAAAAATCAGGAAATATTTTTTTAACATAATTATTTACTAGGCATATTAATACAGAACTCTGAGTAATCATTCATTTAAACTGCAATACAGAAACTTCTTTTTCACACCCCTCAGAAGCAGCCCAAAGGGTTGGAGGAGTCAGGGGTAATGGAGGAGTTGAGGGAGGGGGAAGTAATTGCTGGGAAGGAGCCTGGGAGTTAGGAGGAATGTTGGGTGTGGATGGGAGAAATATGGAACAGTTTTTTTTGGGGGGGGAGGGGTCTTGTTAGGAGGCTGGGGAGTCTCCCCCATGCAGACCCCACCTCTGACCCCATCCCCATGTGGCCCTGCACCCCTACTTCCATTCATCCCCTGGCTCTATCACCTCATTAACTCCTGTGCCCACCTATCTATCCCCCCCACTAGCTCTTCTGAACCCCAGTCTTTGTGATCTCCCCCTCGCAGCCCTGTGTTCCCTGCTCTTTTCCCTTCTTCCCCCCTGTGCCTCCTCTGGCCCCGCAGGCAAGGCATTGAGGAAGGGAGCCTCTGCCCCTTTCCTCTCTGCAGGTAGGTAGTTGCTCTGGCTTGTGAGCCAACTGCCCTCTTCTGGTCCCACATCCACCCCTGGTGGGTGAAAAGTGTAATTGCAGCATGATCCCTATCACTGCTTCCCTTCACCTCCTAATTCTGTGCTTGTGCAGTGGTGCAAAATTCCCCCAGGAGTAGACAAAGTTCCTGCCCCAAAGATCTTACAATCTAAAGTATTTTTGCTTTTTAAAGTCAAAATTGTATTAAATTATTCCTTTTGAAGTGAGATGCATTATTCTGACAACAAAATGATTAGCCCTTGCAGAAAAATCTATAACAAATGTATTGATTGTGTTGTTCTACATCAGTAAAAATGGGTAAAGTGTGTGTGTGTGTTTGAGAGGGAGGAACAGCAGGGAAGGGGCTGTTTGTGTTCAGCATTAGAAAATTACTAGAAATTTGAGGGTCATAGTTTACTTAATTCTAAACAATGTAGATTGAATTCTAAAGGTGAAAATTACATCATTTGATGAAAATATTTCTATAATCTGTCTGTCAGGAACAAATAAGGGAGTGGATGATGGCATGTATTCAAGCTCTTGTATGGCATGTGTCTGACACCACTGGACTTCAACAAGTTCCCAGTATTTCCTATAACTAATTTCTTTAGAATGAAGTAAAACTGCAGTAATTGGTTTGAAGATATATGTGTATTTGGGAATTTCTGCGTATACATTAAAAACTAAAATAACTCGTGTGTGTAAATCCTTCAGGAAATAAATCAGGCAGGATTTACTGTCAAGTAGGATTTAGCTTTAGATGAGGAAAATGTACTTTAAAGTTTCTCTCTACCTAGATGTTATCAGCTATGGAGGCTGATAATCGGTGTCACAATTGGGAAATATTAATTTCCCTTTATAGAATTAGAGACTAACTGCATTTTTCTGGATTCTGAAATGCACATTGCAAAGCATATTGTGGAACATATTTGAAATGGAGTAAAATTTTAGTTAACATGAACGTTTTTCCTGGCTTAGGTTCCCCTGTAACAATGGATAGAATAAATATAATTTCCACATGGGATACACTCATTAGATTTAATTTTTTCTTCTTAAAGAAATATTATTATTATTATCCCGGTAACAGAATAGGCTCACTACTATTAATATTTTTGTTACTGCACAATAGTACCATAGGATTTGGCTTCAAGAAAATTAAAATAAACCATACAAACAGAAGAGTTTGGTCCTAGGCTGGACCTCTAATATTCTATTTCTCACCAGTTGATGAAAAGATTTGGCAGGGCAAATGACCCACTTCATACTTTTTCTCCTGTTGTAACTAGGCAAGAGGGATAGCTGAATTGTCTGGCTTGGAAATCAGGAGCTATCAATAATTGCAGCAGACAGGATTCTTCATTCATTTTTTATAAATGGTGGAAAGGAACAAAGAAATAAATAGTATAAAGACAGATTACTCTGAGCTTTATCTAGCTCAATGGCTGCTACAAAAAATCATCCAGTGGTTCACACCAACTGCATCTCCTTTAGGAGTTTATTGATAATCACTTGCATGTATTTTTAAATACAAAAGTATGTTTAATATGAATTCCTTGAAATCTATGTTCTTCAGAAGAGTATCTTCTGAAAATGTCCATAATACTGTGATACCAATAACTTTAATCACCAACTAACTCCTCTCATTAATAGGCACTCCCATGTATTTAAGGGAGTGATTTGTTATGCCAGAGGGGATGAATATGAATAACATTTTTTTTCTTTCCCTTTCAGAAATGTGTAACTGAAGAGTGTTTCTTTTTTGAGCGCTTGGAATCAAACAACTACAACACTTACCGGTCACGGAAATATTCTGATTGGTATGTGGCACTGAAAAGAACTGGACAGTACAAACTTGGACCAAAAACTGGACCAGGGCAGAAAGCTATCCTTTTTCTTCCAATGTCTGCCAAGAGCTGATTTCAGTGGTAGATTCTATAGTCTATGCCACAACACACTAAAGTGGTAGTTTCCTCCACTCCTTCCAAAAGTAGTAAAGTGTGAGCAAATATTTGATAACTGCTTTTGCAGATGTCTGATTACTAAATATGTTTGTATAATATAACCTTGATGTTACTGTATGTTTTGAAACAATTGTGCCAGTGTCCAGAGGAAAAAGCACCAGTATCCGTGCTTCACGTATTTTCCTCTAGTTAGAGCTACTATATTAGCCTTATGTTAGCCTTGCAGTGTAAAGGAAACTTAAAGATGTGCACATATTTACAGGAATATTTACCTTTTAAAAGAAATAATATATATATCTATATATCTTACTAGAAAATAAAAAAAGTAAATATTGAATTCGGCAAGAACAAAGTCCAGGAATATTTTTAATATGGTACAAGTAAGCCCACAATTTAAAACAATCCATTCTAAATTATGAATTTAATTAAATGTGAAGCTTGTTAGAATTCTGTCATGTTTTTATAAGTATCTGGCAGCTCCCTATGGTACAGCTTATAAAATAGGCCTGTGTAAACAGCTGGAAATTCTCTCATGGTTATATCAATCTTATCAAACCCTTCTCTGTATCCATAAAGTAGCAGTTTAGCTACACTGCTGGTGATGGGAGTAGTGTCTTTGGTCTTGGCAAGTTCCTCAAGATCCATCCATTCGCACCTCAAGCATTCCTGCTGGCAGAAGCTGATGTTGAATGAGGAAGGCTGCAGGCGACAGATGATATACATATCTGATAACCCAAAGGCTCCGGGGTGCCTATGTTGCTGCCTTATGCTTAAGAGGGACTTGAACTCTGACTTAATGCCAGTCTCTTCACAAACCTCTCGAACTGCTGTGTTTCCTAGATGGAGAGAAATATTCCTACAGTACATGTAAGAGGAGACTACATTTCAAGAACTGTTCATAGTGAAAGATTTCCAACTCATAAAGCATCGCTGATGGTAACACCTTTTTGAGACTGTAAAGGCTATAAACTCCAACACTACAGTAAGCTCAGTTTTTGGCCCTTTGAACGAAACTAATTGTAATGGACTATTTTGCCTTTCTTGTGGATAACCTACAAAATGATGAATGTTCATTAATACTGTACAAGTGTGGTCGCTCTGAAACTGATGCACCAATGCAGTATACCCAGCTCTTGTCTAAAGATATTTGCTAAATATTTTCAGTTCTCTTTGATCCTAATTAATACATTTTTAGGTTTACTTTCAATGGCTGATCTTCCTGTTGCATCTGAGCACTTTCAATTATATCTGATTGTGGGAACAAATCAATTAGTTCAGTGGCACAAGTACACAATTTATCTTACAGATGTAAAAGTGTGCAAACAAACTGGCCTACAGAATGAAGGAGGACCTCACCCTTCTTGCAAAGTTATCCTTAAATGTCTATAATGACATTTCAGTTATATTATTTTGCTAACATACCATGAAATCTATTGATGCATGGGAAATTCATACAGATAATTCCTATTAACTTTGCATATGTAAATCTTTTGTACACTGACCAAGAGGAGATAAAAACCTCTTACATTTCTCATTATAAAAATCAGTAGGAATGGAGAAAAAAAATCCGTTAACTTGGGCCCCAGTCCAGGAATGTCCTTGAGCACAGGCATAGTGCTACTGAAATCAGTGGGACTACTTGTGCTTAAAGTTAAGCACATTTTTAAGAACCTTGCTGAGTCAGGGTCTAAAAACAGCTAATGGCTGGCAGGGTAACTCATTCACTCTTTCAGTGCTTAGACCCAGTCTCTCCACTAACCAAAAGCTAGAGTTACCTCCGAACAGCAATCAAAATCAAAGATCCCAGGAGGGCTCTAATATCTTCTTCTGCCAAAATTTAGCTGTTCCTAGGCCTTGCAAAACTTTACAAACCTTTACAAACTTTTGGGTGGAGTATTTTTTGGATGGGTAAATAGAATTATTAGATTTTTTTTTTAATCCTCATGGCAAGGGAGGTGACTCTGTTTTGTCTGTGATGTAAAATGCTCATGGCTAGTTTGCAAGGCAACTTGCTGCAGTTAATTAGGAATTAGAATGTTGGTTTATATTTAACAGAATTACATTCATTTTAATAATGCCTGCAAATCACCATCTTGAAAAGTCAGAAGTACAGAAGATATAAATTTTGGATTTATTTTAAAACCACTGAAAATAATTTCAGGACATACAGTAGCAAACCATAAGCAAAATCTCTAACAGCCTTTCTTATAGACAATAAACATTTATATAGTAATGACCCTGATCCTGCAAACACTTCATGTGTGTTTTAAAGTTAAGCACATTAATAACTGCACTGCATTTAATGGGACTAGTTGCATGAGTAAAGCTTGACACATGAGCATCTCTTTGCAGGACTGGGCAGGGGGGCATTAGTATATAAATATGTCTGCAGAACATTAACTATTAACTACACAGAACTTGGGGGAGTGAGGGGGGAGGAGAAGGGCATGGAAGCACTCTGATTCCATGTCTCTGACACAGTTGTAGAGATTACTGACAGGCTGATCCATTACCATGCCTGGCTCCTCTGGGCTGGAATCACTGGAAGTCCTAATGGAACGTTCATCCAGTCTTCCTTGGTTAGAACAGAAGTGGAAATGAAGCAAACTCCCTACAGTGTATTTGTATAGTACTCTTTGGACTTAAAGGGGGAAAGGAGTAAAAGGATAGAAATCAGGGATGCTGAGAGAGACCATGCTAAAATCATTAGACCAGGAATTTCAGTCTAGATTTGAGCTTTGCTTCAAGATAGTGCCTTATTGTAGTTCCCTTATTTTTTTTTAATATTTTAAAATGACAAGTTAAAGTGGAAGGAACATTCAGGGCTTGAGCTTCAAAAATTGGCAAGCCCCAAAATGCATGCAATTTAGTGCTTAATTTGTTCACATAACTACCACAGCTGCTGCCTGTGCAAACTGGTACGTGTGAATAAACACTGATCTGCAAGCATGGTAACTGCACTCCTACATTTTTGAAAGGTAGGCCCTTAAATGTTTGAGGCTTAATGTAAATGATGGAAAAATAAAGTTCTGTTATATTTCATGCTTCATTAATTTATATCTGTTAAAATATAGTAATAAAAATAACTGCTGCATCACATCTTAATATTTTAATAGGGGCATGAGGGGAACTTTAACGAACATATTTTCCCCAGTTTTTCTGATACCTATTTCTGTCACCCTAGCAACATCTACAGCCTCATCTATTTTTTTAGAGGGATGTGTCCCTGGCACTCCTGTGTACAACATTCCTACAGTGGAGCCATGCTCATGCTGGCCATTCTTTGCCTATCAACAATGTAAAAGTTCCTCCAAAGTCCCCTTCTATCTTGGACCCTTCCCTTTCAATCCTCCTCTAACCAGACTCCCTTTTTGGTACAAAGTATACAGCATATATTCATGGCATTATGTACGCCTCTCCAAACATAAATGTTTGACATGTAAGCGCATGTTTCACAAAATTATACATGCAACATCAAATAAAGCTAAATTCTGTAATAAATATTTGAAGGAACAGCATTAGTTCAAATGAAATTAGTTAGTTAAACTTCTGTGCCAGGGAAGATAATGGAGCAAGTAATTAAGGAAATCATCTGCAAACACTTGGAAGGTGGTAAGGTGATAGGGAATAGCCAGCATGGATTTATAAAGAACAAATCGTGTCAAACCAATCTGATAGCTTTCTTTGATAGGATAACGAGTCTTGTGGATAAGGGAGAACCTGTGGATGTGGTATACCTAGACTTTAGTAAGGCATTTGATACGGTCTCACATGATATTCTTATCGATAAACTAGGCAAATACAATTTAGATGGGACTACTATAAGGTGGGTGCATAACTGGCTGGATAACCGTACTCAGAGAGTTGTTATTAATGGTTCCCAATCCTGCTGGAAAGGCATAACAAGTAGGGTTCTGCAGGGGTCTGTTTTGGGACCTGCTCTGTTCAATATCTTCATTAACGACTTAGATATTGGCAGAGAAAGTACGCTTATTAAGTTTGCGGATGATACC